CTCCTGGATCCCCCGCACCCTGCCCACCACCTTTTCTAGCTACTCCCTTCAGGCAGGCGCTACAGATCAATGCGCACCAAATCCAGCAGACACTTAAACAGCTTCTTCCCCCGAGCCATTAACTCCCCAAACAGTCACTGACGTAGTCACTCTTCTTGTACAACAAATACTGCTACTGGTCACTCTAAAATGGTTCAATGATTTTCTGCACCAACTGTACAACTGTCATAGTATTGTATTCTACCACTGATCACTTTAGCTCTGATAGATACTTTGCACATTGTCTCACAGTTATCACTGGGTGGTACCACCGCACTACGGTTCACTTACATTACGAAATGTCCTTCCATACCTATTTGTCATGTCCTTGTTTATGATGATACTAATGCAGCGTGTTATACCGGAGACAAATTCCTTGTGTGTTCTACATACTTGGCCAATAAAGATGATTCTGATTCTGAGAAAAAACACCATTAAAATGACTATGGTGCCAAAATTGTTGTGTCTGCCAGTATTTTTGCCCAAAAGTTTTTTTAAGGCTGCAGATTCGACTTTTTTTTTTTTTTTGTGAAATGGAAAGAAACCCAGAGTTGAACTGAAAGTACTATTCTTTATGGTGAAACTTTCTTTCAAATTTATCATTGGGCTGCAAACAACTATATTTGCCTTTTGCTTCAGGACGATTTAAGTACCCTGAAGTCCATAAACACCTGAGGTCTGCTGAAACTGTCATTTGAAAACATGAGTGTTTCCTGCAGCATTCTTGTGAGTCTTCTTTAGATTCTGCTTTCATCCACATTTGCATGCTTTTTATTGATCCAGACTTATTCTTGGTTTTAATCATTTAATCTAATTATTTTAGAGGATTTTATTAGGATATTTGCAATGTCGTATTAATATTTTGTTTCTCATTTTGAAATGCTTTTCATGTTTTATGTAAAACACTTTGAATTGCCGTGTACATGAACGTGAATGCTTCAAAAACTGCAAGCTAAAGTAAGTTGACAACTCCAACTGAAATATATAAACTGTCTCTAAACAACAACACTGTTGTGTTAATTCATGGTTTGTTTGCCTTTATAGTTTTTTATATATATATATA